GCGAAAGTTCGACTAGCAGCAAATATCTGCGCGAATGTCCATTGTGTTTTAATAGGCTACCAGAAGATGCCTTTCCACAGTTGTCTTGTTGTGATCACCGCTCTTGTAGAAGTTGTTTGTACCAGGTATCCCTGCCGCTTGCACATCTTACAAACCTAAATGACATGAGTAGCACTTATTTACTAACATAAGTTTAAATTGGTCATGTTCACTACCGTGTATGAACAATCTATTTTGAAATTTCAGTACCTAAAAGTAGAGGTAATGGAAAGCCGTGTGCAAATTACTTGTCCAGAATGTTACGAATTCCTCCACCCGAGTGACATATATGCTTTAATGGCTGATGATCCAGAACTCATAAAGAAGTATGAGGATTTTTCTTTACGTCGAGCACTAATGACTGACCCTGATACGAGGTGGTGTCCAGCACCAGACTGTTCGTAAGTTGCTTTACGTCGCAGTTCAATTCGGTATCCTTTTACTAAGGCTGTTGGTCAAAAGTTCAAATTTATCAACTGCGAGATAAAGGTTAAAAATTCGCCCCGATTTGGACTGTTTTGAGGTATGCGGTTATTGCTACTGCATGCGCTGCGTGTCCCGAGTTGCACTGTGAACGACCGGGTTGTGGAGCTTTCTTCTGTTACCACTGTAAGGGGCCGTGGCACGCGAGCCAGACTTGCGATGAGGCTAGAAGAGAACGAGGGGGTCATGTGCGATCCTCCTTACAACAAGCTGAGACACCGTTCAAACGTTAGCGTTCGTTACAAATGGATACAATAAGAGTCTAATAGTTCTTTCTCTTTCGAGCATGAATATTCGTCTTCTATCACTGAAAAACTTTTTCTGAACTTGTTTTTAAATTTTTTAGCTGGTGAAATAAAAGGGTGCCCAAGGTGCCATGCGCTAATAGCGAAGTTGAATGATGGGTCATGCAACCATATGGTCTGTACGTTATGTCGAGCTGAGTTTTGTTGGTTGTGTTTGAGAGAAATTAATGATTTACATTACTTAAGGTAACTGAATTCCGTTATAAAAAGTAGTGGAAAGCGAAGAACATTTATCATCTCTACATATGATTTTTTATTTTTAGTCCGACGGGGTGTACATTTTGGGGGAAAAAGCCGTGGACGCGAAAAAAGAAGTTGTTGTGGCAGGTGGGAACTCTTATTGGTGCGCCTGTCGGAATTGCTTTGATTGCTGGCTTAGCAATTCCAGGAATAATTTTTGGCGTTCCAGTTTTTGTCGGAAGGTTTGTTTAGCCTTTCCAGTAGTATTAGTTGGTTGTTTACGATGGTAGTTTGTTTAGTCAAGAAATACGTTGCAATTTTTTTTTTTTTTTTTTTTTTTTTTTTTTTTT